TATTTGGCTTTTCTAGGAGGAGAACTAAGTATATCTGCCTCTTATTTTTCTCCATTTGCAGACATTAACAAAAAAGACATTGCCAACACTCAAGAAAATTTTGGTTCAAAACCACAAGACAAATGGCATCCATAGAAATATTCAAAGACTTAGAGTGGCAGCTGCTGTGAAAGAGAAGAAAGAAGAGGTAAGTAAAACAACTCTGAAACCAGCCACAAAGCGTGAGAAAATAACATCTTTCATCTCACAGAAAAAATCCAGGCAAGAGTTTCTTCCTTTGGTTGGTAAATTTATTGATAGGGCCAAAGCAGAACCCCTTCATTTGAAGAATAATGCTTGGCAACAATGGAATTCATCTGTCTTGATGTATTCTTTGTCACGCAGTCATCTTGGTGAACGTGAGTCTATTTCAGATGTTTCTCCGAACAGCTGTTTTGGTAAGTATTATCATACCATTAGATTCAATGTGAAAGCAACACGCTTGGCAAAAAAGATCAGGAAGTGGTTTGCAGGTGACAGAACAAAGAATAAACCCTTGGAATATCGCTTTACAGGTAAAGAGTCGCGTCTTTTTTGTCACAATTTCATGTATATCGTTGAAAGTCTGAAAACTGATGAGGATCAGAATGTTCACACTTTCAAGTTACATGTTTTTGCCTACACAGGTTTGAATCTAAGAGATTCAGTCTCGCTTTTTAGTAGGATCTCAATGTCAAGTGAGCAGGTTCAAAGTCTCAGTCAAGTTTGTTCCAACTATTTCAGAGCTACTGCACTCTTTTTAAAGAGTACCCCTACTTCCTGGACAATTGGCCATGTAGTGCCAGTTCATGCCCAGCAACTCCAGGAAACATTAGGTTTGGGCTTGGGAATAAACACAATGGAGGGAAGGGAGGCAAAGCATGTTACTCTTGCCAAATTTACCAACAATGCCCAGTATAACAACAGATGGAGTCAGGTTTTTAAGCATGAGTACATTTCATTATTCTGGTTACGAGAAAACGGGTGTGATGAAACTGTGTACAAACACACTTCAAATGAGTATATACCTAAGAGGTGTTTCACCCATGACTTTTGTTACTGTGGTCTCCCCAAAGATGGTAATGTAGAGAAGTGTAGTTTTTGTTCCCGGCACTTTCAAAAATTAGTTTCAGACTGTGTTCTTCAAGGGAAAACCACACTTGAAGCTAAAGAGGCAATTAAATAACTTAAAGGTGGCCTGTTATGTAACAGTTTCTTAGAATTTGCAAACTACAGACAAAAATGTAACTATTTTATTGTTATGATAATGTACTCAATATATGGCTACTTATTAGATACTCTTTATATATGCCAACATACAATGTTAAAAGGAAAACAAATTAT